CTGATGGATGGGAAAAAAAAAAAAAAAAAAACACCTAAGACATGGTTTCCATAAAGTTCAAAATCGGTTCCCGGAAAAAAGCACAAGCTGTACATTCCAACAGATGAGTGCACAGAAGATGCCAATCACATTCCTATAAAGACGGAAGGTGACTTATACAGAAGATGTGCTCTTTGTAGTACAAAAAAAGAAGTTCATCGTTCTAAATGGCTGCGCAACTCCTGCAATGTCCCATTGCGCTTCCAAACAAGTGGTCCTACTTGTTTCGAAAAATTTCATACTAAATAGTTAATGAAATTTATACCACATATCATATTTTCTGCTCTAAATTTTTATTAACAATATTTCAAATTATTTTCTTAGAAATCTTTCAATAAGTACAACAATGAAATTGTACAATTACTTAATAATTATTACTTTACTATTATTACATTATTCCGCAAACATTTTGTGTTTATTTGTCATTAAAACTGTTATTTTCATAAATATTAAATACTCATAAAAAATTGTCATAATAATTTTGTCCTAACAGGTAAGCTGTGTTAAGTGTGCAGTGGCTATAACCTCTAGCCACTTTTTAGACAAAAGACCCCTGATTTGAAAAAAAAAAAAAAAATATTTACCGCCAAATAATGTTTAAGATGGTTGAGAACATTCTGTTTATAATGTACTTTATCACAGAAAATAGTATTTTAGCTTTGCACCCGTGAAAGGGTTAAGTGCAATTTTTATTATAAATAATAAAAAATAACAATTTATTCACTTATTTAAGATGAAATAATTATAAAAACCATTTTTTTGTATTTGATTTTATTTCACGATCTCTCCTTTTTCTGAAAGAGGTTTTCAAGAATGAAAACTATAAATATCAACAAAAGCAAGTTCACACACACAAAAAAAAGGAAGAAAACTTAAAAAAAAAAAAAGGTGGAAAATAAATAAAGATACAAGGTGAAAGGCATCCAGTCTGGAGCAAAAGGCTTGGGGGAAAGAAAGAAACCAAAATGTGGCAATGCAATCAAACACCACTGAAAATGTGTGCTATGGTCTGAAGAGAAAAGTACCTATCAATCACTGTGACTTCAAATGGATATCTACAAGCTCAACTTCAGCATAAACTTGACCCCATTCAAGTTCATTTATCCAGAAATAATCTACAAACTGGCTCGCGTTCAATGTTACAGTGCTTGCTCAAGATACCTGCAGAACATAAACAACATACTGATGGTCGTTGAAATTTGGCTTTAAAAAGTGATGTTTGTCAGCCAAGATGTAATCAAATGAATTGTGGTGGCATCTAAAAAATTTACCACCCTATCACACCTCATACGCTATTAATTTTTATCTTTTGCATATTTCATCAAAAAATAAAAATGGTTTAGTTACATATTTAAATAATAAGACCAGCTGTCTATTCAATAGTTTTAACAATATAAATTTTATAGATTCGTACGAAACTAAAATTAGTGGCTGCCATTTTATATATCATATGCCAACAATTAAGGGTATTTTCTTAAAATAAACAGATATTTTCTTATATCAGCAAATTAAGTATGCCATCAAATCAGTATTCTAACTGAAATGGAAGTGTTGGGCAAAACTGTAGATATAAATATCCCATTGTTTACCTATGTTTACATAACACACACAACCTTAAGACAACAAAAATAAGTCACAGCAGCCAAGTAATACATGTTTAATTGCAGCTATGACTCAAGAATACTAATATTCAATATAAGCTACTGTCTGTCTACGGTAAGAACAGCTCCCGCCACGGTGTCTGGCGAGTGGCGGTCACTATAGCAACAGGGCTAGTATATTTCAAATAGGGACGAACCAAGGGTTGCTTTATTGTTATTTTGTTTTTGGCGACTGTTGGCTTAAGGGAAGTTTATCATTCGTCTTCTCGGCTTCATTCCAGCTGCACGCATCTTTTCTTAAGCCTTATATTATTACTATTAGCTATTTTTATTCTCGTTGTTATATCTTTTGTGCTTAGCATCTGCTCAAATTTCGCTTCTATTTAGCTTGATTTTCGTAAGTGCTTTGTTAATCGCCAAATTTTTTAAAATGCCCTTCCAGTTTAAGAAAGGTCAAACCTTTAAAGTTCTCAGGTCACGTCAAATTCGTGTATAATGTCGCAGAATTTTACGCTTCTGAAGCTTCGGCGAACTCTTTAGTAGTTCCTCTTCCTTAAGTTTTGTCCTACTGAGAATATCTCAAGCTACTGGAGTATCGGAGTATACAATTAAAAAAATTAAGCACAAAGTATCAGCAATGAAGTATTAACAATGAGTGAAAATAAACTTCTGAATACACTTGGAAAAGAAATGTAAAAGCCCTGCTAATCATAAGTGTGAAATTGACGATTTTGACAAAATGCGTTATACGGCAGCAGACAATACAAGACTTTTACATCAAAGAAAAGAAAAGTGCCATCTGTGCGGAAATTACTGCCTGTCTTGAGGCAAAAAATAGACTTCCCGTGGCAAAAAGACTCTTTGTGCAAAGTTTTGCGTTCAACTGAATTTTCGCTGGCTAAAAGGAAATGCGTTAACAGAAAAAAAAAAAAAAAAAAAAAATTCTTATCGAAAGACCTCACATTGTATTTTGGAGGAACAATTATTTACGCGAAAGGAGAGAAACTCAGAGCAAGTGGACACCACATCGTTACATCGATGAAACATGGATTGACAGCAATTTAAGCTTTTAAGAAATGTTGGCAACATGATACGGTTTTGGGCGCACAGATAAATGCCAGTTTCCCTTAGCAAGCCCTCCATGAAGGCATACCTCCTCTTAGGCATTTAGCCCTGGGGGCTTTCCGTAATCATATAAACCAACCCAAACCACTGGTAATTAAGGAAAAAGCAGTTTTGATTTTAATTCACCTTCGCTTCCTTCCGCCATTAAATTAACCAGCTTTTGGTTTAGTTTAAAGGTATGGGAAAAGAAGAAATGTTCGCAAAAAGTATTTATTGAGAGCATGGGTATGTAAAAAAACGCTTTTACTTTCAAGATGATTCCACATACACTTAATGATGAAATTTTTAGTCATTATTAAAGCACAAGCAATAAATTAACAGAAAATTTTGAAATAAAAACATAGCAGAACGTCATTTAAAGACTGAAGAAATTGCTTTGAATGTTTACGGTAGATCAGCTAGAGGGAAGAACTATAAAAATTAAATTTATTTTATATGTATGAAGTGCGTCTGTACTATATTACAGAGAATGGTGCAATCAACTAGATTTCTAAGATGTCATCTATGATTTTGCAAGCAAACAAATATAAACAAAAAGAAGCAAAATAATAGCATGATTTTTTTAAATGTCAAAATTAAAATTTTTCTTCAAAAATAAACAACGATTTTTTAAATTTTATTTCCCTACAAGTTTATTTTTACTCATTGTACATCTAGAGGGATGGCAAATTCAGCGGCTTGTACCTCACCACGGCAAAATCAAAGACGTTTCTTGACTGCAAAAGCTTTATCTATGCCATCGAATTTTCATTTTCGGAAATTGGATGTCGGGGTCGACGCAAAGGGTCAATGATAATTTTACTTGAAACTAAAACAAAATGTGAATATTGCCAAATCATCTTTAAATGCGCCTAGGTGGCAAACTCAGAAGTAAGTCTTCAAGACACCCCTATGAAAAATGGGTTAGGGCTCGTTCTACGGCAACAGACAGCTGCAGACAAACTGGCGAGAGCTGTTCTTACCATAGACAGACAGTAATACCTAGTATAATTTCTGGTAATTAAATTCGACTCAAGAATATCAATATTAAATATAAACTAATACTTAGTATAATTCCTAGTAATAAAATTCCAGCAATGCTTAGCCAACAGCAGAATATATTGGAGCCATCATTAACAAATACAAATCTAATTGCTTTAATTTCCTAGATAAAGTTTTGGTACTTCTTCTTTATCTGCCTGCAATATCGTAAAATTGTAAGAACAAATAATATGATATAACAACACATAATCATTAATAAGACAATGAGAAAAATAATTTAATTAAAAGGGGTGGAAGAGGTCCTGCTCATGTCAATTAGTGTTTAGTTCACGGGGAAACTGTCACAATATCAAGATTCACATGAAAATTTGAAAATTTTTTATTCTGGAGAACATTCTGGGAGAGCTCCACATTGCTGGAAACATTTCATCAAATCTTTTTCAGTGGATGATATTTCAAACAGCCGCATGGCGAGACTAAACAACACAAAAAGAGAATTTTGAGAATAAAAATAACTGCTAAAATATGAGATATGATTGCCAGATTTGAAGGCAGATAAAGGAAAAGTATTAAAGTTTTACAAAGCAAATAGTAACCTATTTAAATACAAGAATATATTTATGAATACTCTAATCAGTTAATCCATGATTCTTAGAACATTCTTCCAACTTTCAAAGCCTAAATTACCCTGTCATTCATGAGATAATTCTTTCCAATACCTATGGGATATAGCTGAAAAATGGATTTAGCTTGCTGATCTGGCAAATGAGATTATTATAGACAACAATTTATAATATGGGTTCTAATACCAGACAATTCCAGCCCAATATAAAATACATGCATGCCCAAATTAAAGAATTAAACAGTTACAAATGGAAAAAGAATTGACTTATATTTTTATCCCATATGTTTGAAGCATATGTTTTTCAGAATTACAGATTGGTCTGTTTGTTAATTATAACAAAGCAGTGGCTGGCTAACTGTTTAGGAAAAGAGGCTTTCATGTACAAATTTTTGAAGAAAACTGCAATGGTTTTAATCATAAATGAGGGAAAAAAATCATGGCCATCACATTGGGATGTAACTACCATTCTGCACAATTTTTAGCAATTCAATGCCACTTGTGATGCAAAGAATTTTAGAGTTATTTTAACTACAAATAATAATTATATAAAAACAAAAGTAATAATAAAAATTAAATGGCATGATGTTAAGATAAGTAAACCTATTACGTTAGAAAAAAGAATTACTTACCGATCATGGTAGTATAATCTGTTGCACCAAAAATAAGTTCAGGAGCTCGATAATAGCGCGAACAAATGTATGACACATTTGGTTCACCATTAACTAGATGTTTAGCACTGTAAAACAATACAAAAATCAATTAGACATGCTATATGTTATGCAAGTCATATGATAAATAGACATGCTATAGAGAAATAGAAATGGTCATATATATATATTACATACATAACAAAAAGACTTAGCAATATTGGTGGCGTAGAATGTTGTTGACACATACTGAAAACCAAACTTGGCAGCCAAGGTGGACTGCATATTCATCTTTATTTCAACTGAAATTTACGGCCACAATCCACTTGGCACTCTAATCATACCTATTCAAGAACATTTACATTTTTGATACTACTGTGACAGAAAAAACAGCAGCATGCCAGTGTCTTAATAGCAAGTGAGCTAGAAGCAAACATGTGCAGATGGAAGTTCACTAAGAGAAAGGTTTCAATTCTCAAATTTTGAGTTCAAGTTTCAAATCAGTTACTTTGTTATGCAAGTCATATGATATGGATTGATCTAGAAATGATGCAGTTCAGAAAAAGTTATTACATTTTTTAATAAAGAGGGAGGTGCCAAAATTTAAAGAAGAAATTAAGGGGCTACTTACTGCTAATTTAAATTATATGCAAATTTATGTCTATTTAATGAACAATATTGAACTAAAGGCACTAATTAGGTCACTGAAGAATGCAAATATTCAGAGTCAAACACACAAGCATATACCTGCATGTCAGCAGAGCTGTAACTGTGGAGGAAATATAAGAACACAAGGGCTATTTCGGCAATTTGTGTGCCCATGCGCTTATATGACATTCACCATGTTTCTTTCAAGAGATGAGTAAATTCATGCATTGAAGGGCATAATTCAGGAGTTTGAAAATACAGGATTCTTAGCAGTTCAGTTTGCGAAGAACAGAAACCGTTGTCGGAACAGTTACTGATGCTGCGACTGTAATCGTTGGTGCTACCCATGGGACATTTGCTTGAAATGACAATGCCTGGGGAATAATGTGACAACAGGATTTAAATCTTTCGATAACATCGCAAATCTTAAAAAAAGTTTTTCACTTCTACCCTGCAAGATTAGCCGCATGCAAGAGTTAAAACACAAAGATTATGATAAACTGATGGTACTGGCTCTGACATTTTTTTACATGATGGAGGTCAATGTTTGGCCATGAAGAATTCTGTGGGGAGAGGAGACACATTTTCAATTAAATGGGACAATTCACATTTCTCAAATTTGGGCATCCAAACAATTTCATATTATTTTCCCAGTGCATTCACCAAAGTCACTGTTAGTTGCATTTTCCACTTGCATGCTTCATTTCTCAGATCTAAACATGCATGACATATTTTTTTGTGGGGTTTATTTGAAGTTCAAGATGTATTTTGGTGGAGACTAGACCTTGATGATTTTAAATGACAACATACCATGGGCTGTGTTGAGCATACCTGATGACATGTTACATTCGACCATTAAGCATGTTGTGTATGCAATTTGTTATTAACAAAGGTTGATTGTAGCTTACATTGTAGGCAGTCCATTACCCTTGCCAATGAAGCACTTCTATTAAATAAAGCGCTATAGTAAAAAAATCATTTCTGCAACCCTTTGGGGCAGTTTATTTGTTGCATTAGAATGGTGTTGCACTAAAATTTCTTCTTTGGTATGCATTTTTCTAGTTCACAGCTATGTAGACTAGAAAAAATAAATTTTACAAAATCACATTTCATTACATAACTTGCTTACTACTTATTTATAACTACATATTATTAGCTTAAAAGGGCATCAGCCCGAGAGGGCTATTAATTTTGAAACGAAATTTTGTGCTGAATCACTTTTTGAATTATTCCTACCATATATTATTGCCCTGTATTATATTTAAAAAATTAAATAATGAATAATCTGCATGAATATGAGTATGTTTCTCGCACTGTGAAAAACAACGATACCTAGAGCCATCAAATTTCGAATAACATAGTCCTCCACCCGAATATGGGCACTTGGAAGCCTGAATGTTCAATTTTGAAAATGTTCTATTACCTATTTCATATTTTTTTAATTAACTAATTGTTTATTAAAAAACCCAACGATTTCAATGCAAGCAGTGGCAACACACAGTATGGAATAAAATATTTTTATCTCCAGGGCGCAAGACTGTCTATCGGGAACTCTAAAGATATGAAGTCTGTCTTTATGTTTAGCCCAAATACTCTCAAAATGTATATGTATGTATAAATAAAAAACAAAACACACCTTTTGGCATAATATAAAATCTGAAGGGTTTCGGGTTTTTTTATTTATTTTATTTATTTATTTATATTACAGTAACTTATGCCTGTCAACAAAACATACCGCTTAACAGATGCATGCCTCTTCTCCCACAAAATGAAGATCACGATACTATATTTAATAATTTTTCTTATGTTATTTAAATTAATACACTCAAGTTTAGGAAGAAATAATAACACATAACCACTGAAAAATATGCAACAACATTATTATACAACTATAAAATACAAAATAATACAAAGACTGATTAAAAATTTGTGTGCTGTTCAATAATCTCAAACAGATTCCCTCCTTATTATTTTATACAAGCTCTACTCTTTTTTAAATACTAATTTTTAATATATTTTGCCAGTTAATTAATAACTTAACTATGTTCATAATATTTACTCTAAGATTAAGAATGTTTTAATTTTTTTTTTTTTTTTTAATTTAGTATAAAAGAAAGATAAAATACCTTCCAAAGTCACATAACTTCAAAACACCAGTCTCTGGATCTAACAATAAATTCTGAGGTTTGATATCACGATGGCAAATTCCAAGGGAATGAAGATAGGCTAGGCTTCGAAATAACTGATACATATATAACTGAAAATAATTTTTAATATTAGTAATTAAGGACATGTGCAAAAGGAAAAATATGGAATATAAATTTTTAAAAGGAGAAATGAAAAACCATACCTTAATAAAAGAAATAGGTATCGTTTGCTTAGATTTGCTGTATTGTCTTGCAACTCTATACACTGTTTCTGGAATGAATTCCAAGACCAGATTCAAATAAACTTCATCCTTCTAAATATAAAACAAAACAGCAAATTATCAGTATCACAATATTAACATCTGTCAATACTGACAGGGGAAAAAAAAAAAAAAAGAAAAAATACCTTATCACCACTTGAATAAAAAAAGTACTTCAATTCAACTATATTGCTATGATCTAATCTTCTCATGATTTGCAATTCTCGATTCTGAAATGAAAAATGCATTTTTACTATGGTTTGTCAATGAACTCGCAGCTGATTTAAATTCATATTAAAAAGGTTTAAGTCCTATACTGTAATGATGAAGAGTAAAAATTTAACAGGGTTCATGCACATGGAAATTAAGTACTTTTAAGGACCATTAATAAAAAAAATAAGGACCTATGAGCAAATGGAAACTGAATAAATTCAATTAAAAACACTATCTATGCCTCAATTTCACTTTTGTAATACCATCCTAAAAATAAAATAGATCTCTAAGTAGTATGCATTATTACTAAACATGAATTAATTAACATAATTATTAATAAGTTTGAGAATAAAATTAACTTTATGCAATTTATCAAGTAGCATTAAATATTTTACACTTTTAATAGTTGGTCATATTTGAAGAAAGATAAGTGACATTTACTAAAAGTTAGCTTTATGTTGATTTTTTTTACGTCTCATTTTGTCACATAGTTGGTCAGTCTAGAGGTTTAGTTAATAGCAGGTAGATATGTCAAACGGTATAGGTTAAAATGAGACGTAAGATCATAATCAGCATGATTCATAAAAAAAAAAAAAAAAAAAAAAAAAAGACTGAATATTGTCGGTTGCTGCTTGTCTGGAGAGAGAGAGACCTGCTGATTAGAACAAACCTAAAAGGCCTGATGTAGGCACAGTTGGCAAATGTAAAGTTCGTCAGGCTCTGCTTGCAGTTAGTGCCATAGCTTGTGTAGAGTTCTAGGGATTATAACCCAGTTAATAAACTTTAAGGCTTCAATAAGCCATTAAAGCACCAGAGGTGATAAGTTGTTTTGTATTATTTGAAGTCTCACTAGATGCAAAGAATAAGTTTTACTTGAATTTTTACATTCTTGTGTTTTATCTTGTGACCACAGTGAGTATCAACAAAAGGCAATAACTCGCTTTAATACGTAGAGATGATTTTTAAGGGTAAGCAGTTAGTTATAAATAATTAAATTAGGTAATTAGATAATCTTAGTCATTATGGATTTACATGGCCAATATTAAATTTTATTTTTTTAACAATATTTGTTAAAAAGCCCTATTAAAATCAAAACCTAATAAAATTTCACAGTTTTAAAATACATGTAATTTATGATATTGATTCTTAAAAGATATTAGAAAACATTTATGTTTTGTAACAACAACATTCAACAAAATATTTATCCGTCATTTTAATTTGAAGCCTTCCCAAACATTTTGGCTAGTTTATATAGATTTTCTTCTCTTAAGCATCTTTACTAACAATTAGAGATTTGTCTCAATACACAAAAAAATGCTCTTGCTAGTTTCTGCGTGCTTTATCTCCTAACTTGTCAACCTCTCCACAATGCACCTATGAGGGTTTACTTGATCTGGTAAAAGTTAAAATAGTCCCAAACCCCCAACAGACATGAAGCAAATTATCACTATGTAACTACAATATCAGACAAAAAGTTTAAAGAAGCCTCTTATTCAAAAAGAACTTAGAACATAAAGACAGGTTCTGATGCTAACAAAATCAATTACAGATCACGGTGATGTAATTAAACAAGAACAGTCAAATTCAAACTAAAAATGTGTAGTAGTGGTTAAAGATTATATAATTTAACTTAAATTTAATCAGGCTTAGTAACTATCATACGAGGAGATAGAAATGGGAAATTATAGTAAATGCTGAAATCATAAACAATTGGGTCATTTAAATAATAATGACTGCATATATCTTTGAAGAATAATTTTCTTTATGTATTCAGTTCCTTTCTTCAACACGTTTCCTTCTCATTTTATAATTTTTGCATTTAATTAATGGTTTCTGTTATTCTAAAAAACACTAAATGCATTTAGAATGAATAGAAAAAGCGGCTAATTTTATTTTAGTAATATGAACATTCAACTGAACAACAAAATCTAGAAATGGCAAAACTTTTAAAACTTAGAGCAGGCATTGGAAGCAGAATTTAGGATCCACAGATGGGAAAATGCATAGTGCCAGCTATATGTATGAAGCGTTAAGACATAATAGATGAATCTTTTAAATTGTAAGTTTTCAATTTTCTTATTAATAAAAAAATTCCTTTCTATAATGCCTGCCCATGTTATAAGATTAGAAGCGTTTATGATATTATACATGCTTGTGTCTAGTAAAAAATAAAGAAAATAATGGGAAGATAAAAATGTTACAAAAAAGATTCTAGTATCAGAAGTAAAACATTCAAATATGTTTTCATTGTTCTTCCAGACGTTCTCCAAAAAGTAAGAAATTCATTGCAAATTTTCTGTAAAATACATCCATTACGTGTTGATACCATGGAGACATTTTTCAGTTTGTCACATATTTCTCGAATCTTTTAGAATCATGGGTATATAAATCTTGCCTTCAAATCCTTCTAAACTTTCCAAGCTGCAATGTCTAAAATCCTAAATAAAAAAAAAAAAAAAAAAACTTATCCCTACCAATTCTGTAACAGCAAAAAGGCAGAAATATTTTGGAAAAAAAAGGAGGGAAAAGTATAAAATTAATTTTACAGAGAAAACTGATAAATATTGCGAGAATTCTGAATATTCTGAGACAACTACATGAGAAAAACTCTTACTATGAGAAAACTAACAAAGAAGACATTTTTAATTAATTCCACAGCTAATTTTGCTTTCTGCTAAGAAGCTGTTTCATGAAAATTGTGCTTTATAGCATTATGCATTGTTTATTTTTCAAATTCAAAATAATTGTATAATAAGTTGCCAAAATGAAACTTCATAATTGACAGCGAAACATTAATATATTTTATTTTAATGTTATTTTTAAAATATAATTTCAATATATTACCATTATTTTAATGAAATTTATCAATGTTACGATGTTTTAAAAAAAAATCGTCGAAAAAATCTCAGATCTCGGAATTAAAAATTTTCTATAGAAATTGATCTTAAAATCGCCAAATTTAGAATCATTAATAAAAGAATTCACATCCCCAAAAGCAAAAAGTTGTTGTGCAAAAAGAGCTCTTTATTAGAAAAAATTAATTTTGAAATGCTTATGCTTCACTAAACTTAAGTATCCCATCGTTTATAAATAAAAACGAATTATAACCCATGAACACATTCAAAAGATAACCATATGTCAGTATCACCAAAAATATTCCTCCAAAATGCTAATTCACACTCAAACCGGCAGTCGTAAAAACAGACAGAAATTTCAGATGATTAAAATTAAGGACCTTCTGCTGATTTTGGCCAAAATTAAGGACTTTTAAGGACCAAAAATTTATTCCAAAAAATCTAAGGACTTTTTAAGGACTGTACGAACCCTGTTTAACAGTCCAACATTACAGTATACAGTCAAAAGTCGTTAATCCGGACTAGTCGGGACTTCGGCGATTCCGGATTATACATCATCAGTTTAAATCTGGTAAGATGACATGCAGAAATTATAAAATTAAAAATATGAAACCTTAATTTATGAAATAAAGAACAATTATGATCTAAAAGTATCAAAATTTACAAAAAAAAGCTTAATATTTATTTGTTTACTTTATTAAACATTTCTTTCAATGTAAGTTGTTTAAGTTGCTTTATTTTTTATGTGATAATACTTTCTCTTTAATTCTATAAACAGAAATAATTTCTTGTTCAGTTACAAAATTCCGCTGTTCAAGTCCTATAATTGCTGTGTCGAGAATACCGACTAATTTGTCAATCGACGTTCTTTCGTTTTCGAAGATCGGAAGTGAATTATAATGACGAGGAATTTGATTTAAATCATATCAAAGACGGAGTACATCGAGATGAAATACTACATTTAGTAAAAAATTATAAGCCAAATAAAATAAAAACATCTACCCTGAAGATAAGGATAGTGCTGACAGATCAACTTCCAGTTCATTGCGCGCCGCGACGTTCCCCCCCTTGCCGCAGAGTAGCGTGAAATTGATAAACAGATTCCGGAATGGTTAGATAAACAAATCCATTATCCTTTATCCATTTTTTTTGCATCAATTCCACTTTTTGTTTTGTTAATGGACTTCGAAACATACTTTCGCTTTGTAGATCCTTTACATATTAGTAAATATATATCGGAAATTCTATTTGACATAATCGAAAGTTCAAGCTTACTTTTATAAAATTGCTCTAACAGTCTGCAAAAATAATAAGCCGGATCCAATTCGAAGATTAAGGAACAATGCAATCTGCAACATTAACTGAATTAGATAATTTTAGCTTAGCTTATACCGTCTGTTATACATTAAACGTGCATTCGTAAACATATTTTGCGCATGCGCAACACGCATATTCAGCAGCCGTAAAGGTCTTACGCGCATGCGCAGAAAGTTTGTAGCTTTGAGGTCCGGATTATGGGTGTCCGAATTAACGACTTTTGACTGTATAAAGATTATTAACTTACTTTAAATCTTTTATCTTGCAACACTTTTTTAATAGCTATTAATTCGCCAGTCTCTAAAAGACGAGCTTGATATACGACTCCAAAGGATCCATTACCAATAACTTTGGTATCTGTATATGAAATTTCTTGAGGTCTCTCTGGTCCTTGACCAGGTGTTGCAACAACAGTAGTAACTTTACTCCCATCTTTACCTACAAAATGACAATTACATATCATGTTAGTCTACACAACATTTAAATATTACTTCCATAACAGTAACAGTGTATACAAAGACATACAGTTGTTTTTTATATCATTCAGTTTTCAAGAGGGAGGACAACAACAAATTTAAAGAACTAATTTAATTTTAATTTAATTTATCAACAAATTTACAGAACATGATAAACAGTTGACAAAATAATATTTTTTGCCTAATTATTCTTCTGCTTTGATGGCTGGAATACAAGAATTTGGAGATATGCCATTACAAAAACATTCTAATTTCATTTGTATTTTATTTATGAAAATAACTGCCACTTTAACTAGCTCTAATGAGATTGAGCTTTTAAATCAAGAAGCATTTAATATTTGATGCACCACCTGAAACAGATGTAATGAACCATTTCTAAGATGATCATGTACAATTCAAGACGATTGATGGTCATACCAGATAGATGACGTTCACTACTAATGTTTACATTCTCTGAAATACCAGTTCCTTCCAGAAGCGGTTATCATGAAAAGGTTCACTGTATTACTTGTCAATTTTGTGTAAGTGTCTCATACTTAGAAGTTTACGACAGAACTTTTGCATCAATAAATTTAACATGCTAAAATTTTTCTGCAGTTCGATGTAATCTGAGTTTTTTATATTAGAAACAGAGTTAATTTGCCACATCTTTTACTAAAGATTACACCAAAACGTGGTCACACATTTCATCTCCCAGGAAATTATTTATTTTACAATAAAAAAGGGGGTGAATATACCATCTCTTCAAATGCCCCAAACACATTTACTGAAGCCTCATGCTGTTACCTCTTCACTTAACAGAATTTCTTGCTTTATTCTATAAGATATCACCTTTTTCCAGAAAAATCAGTGTTACAAGACATGAATATTTTCCCAAAAAAGGTATTTCATCTTAAACTAGTTTGATGTATTTAAAAAGCTATGTAAATGGAATTGCAAATAAATTTATAAACAATAATCATTTAAAGCAAAGCAAATGTTTGGATCTACATAATCAGTCATCAGATAGCTCTTACAGGTCTGGTTATCTGTTTGTTTATTTGAATATTATAATATATACAAAGGCTAATACTTTAAGGATTTGAACCTGCATCTGAGTATCAGTGTTTAATGGTTTTAAACCATCTGTCTAATAAGCCTAACTCTTACAAGTCCCATCAAATTGGAAACTACTTTTGAACTTTACTTTGTAAAAAAAAATTCCAATATTTCAGGTACAAAAAATGCATAAGTGTCACAATACCTATAAAATTTTCATTGAACCTGATGGGACAAGTGAAAAAAGAAAATGTTCCAAGTCTAGTCTTTAAATGGTATTATCATTTAACACATCACCACATGATCACTGTTGATCAAGATATCTTATGTAATTCAAAAAGTTAAAATGTGAAATTTTCTAGTTTCCATTTTTTTCCCCCCAGACCTTGCTAATTCATGTTAGGTTATTTAAATATGGCAACGTACATGAGGGTTTAACATTGCCATATTTAAATAACCAGATTCAGATTTTTATCTAATACAGTTTCTACAGTACAATTTGAATGGTAAGAAGTTTGATTTGATGAAAGCTCAAAAAACTACCTAATGACTTTCTCTGAAGAAAAACCATGTAGTTTATATGAAGAAAAAATTTACAAACTTGTAAAATATTAGGAGATAAAAGTACAAAATGACAGTGGTTTTATCATGGATTAAGAAACCATTTTCTTTCAAATAGCCATAAAAACAATCAATTAAATGCTATAAATTCATATCGAAATCAACAAAGGAATTGATAAAGAGAAAACAGCAACCAAAAAATTCAAATAAAAATTTGCTCAATGTAAAATATACACGTTTCACGAATATTCACTTCAATTCACCTCCAGGCATCAGCAACATATGGCTGGTATACATGTCACAACTCTTACAAAGTTATCAGATAGAGATAAATTGCCCTGTCTGTCCTCTCAGCACTATCCCATGTCACACATTTTCTCTTCTTTTGTTCAGTTCGCCATGCTGATACATGAGTATCGAGTACGATTGAAAGTAGAATTTAGTTTTACGCACGCCGTGTGCTATAGGTTACTTTCAACTATATGACATGCTATTAGTTCATACCTACACATTTAATTAAATGGCCACTAAAAAAAGAAAGCTTGATATTCCTGGTTTTCAAGACTTGAAAGAATATGGACGAATGAATATAGATTTGTACAATAAAAAGATCGTGCTGCATGTGTGCTATGTTGCAAAATTGTTGTACGTCGCACGTAAAATGTACAAAGACATTTTGAAACTAAACATCAGTCAACATTTCAAAATTCTGATCAGAAAAATGCAAAATTAGGCAAATCTTTCACAAATGGTGAATATACAAAGAACACATTTTTAAAAGTATTGAAATACTGTTCAGTGGCTCGCAAAATCTACAAACAACGTTATGCCGAATTCAAGAAACACTGGCTTCTATGTGAACTATTGAAAAAACAAATAACTGAAATGGCAGAAAATGTAACAACAAAACAGACTTCTGGATTACAAGAAACTGTTACATTTAGCATTGCTCTTGATGACAGTACCAATGTAAAAGATGTTGTGTGCCTTGCAGTGATTGTATGATATTGAGATAAAGATTGAGTTTATGAAGAATTGTACAGCTTGATTCCTCTGTCAGGGACAACTAAGGGACACAATATTCCTTCTTTGTTTATAAATTATTTTGAAAGTAAAAACACAAATATAAATATTTTGGCTACTGATGACACTTCTGCACTAGTTGATAAGGAAAGAGGATTTGTCAAAATTTTTGGAAATCATATTGGACATAAAGTATTTAACTTCCACTGCATAACATATCAGGGAAGTCGCCAAACTTTTGTCACAGCACTTAGTTTCTGTAATGAGCACTGTTGTTAAAACAGTTAATTTCACAGTGTCTCATTCTTCATCGGTTTCAGGCAATTTAAATTTCTTTTAGAAAAAATGGAATGTGAATATGTGGAACCCTTTATATAGCCATGACCGTTGGCTTAACCAAGGCTTAGTCTTGAATATGCTTGTGTCATGCTAGGAACACATTAAAATTTTACTTAAGGAACAACATTTCCTTGCATTGAATGATAAATAATGGTTATGCAAATCGATGTTTCTGAATGATATAACTAAACACCTCAAAGAACCACGGATTGCAAGGCAAGAGCCAAACAGTACTTGAAAGTTTTAAATATTGAAAAGGCTTAGCTACAAAATTCAATATATTTTCCAATAATATTAATACTAATACTTCCCAAATATTATACCGCTTGTAAATACATCGACCATACACAAAGATGAACTTGAAACCTATGTTGAACCATTTAAGGAAGAATTTTCCAAAAGATGCAAAGATTTTGAAGCTTGTATGCTTATGTTTTCCTTCCTAATCAAACAAGATTTAAAAGACCCCGTCACAATCCCATCTGATTTGTCAATTTATGAGTGGATGGAAGTTGATAAATTTGAACTTACATCTTCAGAATTATGGAAAGAAAAATTTACAGAATTATGAAAAAAATCTGGAAGATAACTCTAATGATAAATCAATGGCCAATTTAAATTTCTGGATGTCACTGAGGGAGATGTTTAATTATTTGAAGAAAATTGTATACATGCTTCACTTTCCACTTTTGGTTCTACATATCAATGTGAACAAATCTTTTCTCACATGAATAATATTTTGAACCTACAAATTTGTTTAATAACTGAATATTCACAGAATCAGGTGTCAAACTGAAAGCCATTGAGTAGAGCAGTGCAGGGTAAGGTTGGCATCAAAATTAATTTTTTTTTTTTAACTACATTGTAAGAATACATATATTGGTACTTTTCCGTTTTGCCGGCGCAAATCTCACCAAGCAGACTTTATTGAAGACAACATACAGTATCCACATAAAAAAATTTTTAACAAATGTTAGTTCTAAGAATTTTTTCTTTTGAAGGCATAAACCTTTTAATATCGTTTAAAATTTTGTAAAAAGACATTAATTTGAATTTACTCTGCTTTCATGGCTCAACATCCTAATTCACTGGTTCATATCACGTGACCCCAAGTGATCTCATGTCACATAAACTAGGCTACAAAAATCATTTCTCTCAATAATTATCTACATTAATTTCAAGTTAAATCTTAATTTGGAATACATGTTTAAATGCAACAATTATTTCAATTTGTACGAATAGCTTACTCAGAAATTATATAAAACCACAATGCTTTACTTCGCTAGTGCATTCTCATTAGAATTGATGATTTTAATCCTTGACTTTGCCTTCGGGTGAGCGGCGTGATTGCATCCTAATTGTTTTAATTACCACGAATGGCCTTAGGGTATAAAATTGAACTGTCTGGTAAAAATTCTACGTAATTGTATGGCAGTATTGAAAGAAACAATCAGTCTGATAAGAAATGGCAGCTACTTGGTTTGTAAATGAGGCATAAAAGGTTACCAGCGAGGATATTCCGTTTGGCACGAGTTGTACCATTATTGACAACTTTATAGCCTGCGCCGGCAAAACGGAAAAGTACCCTTATATTTTACATTGGTTATTTTTTAATAAATATATTTTAAAGATACATAAAACATAATATAAGTACAATTTAAATTTATTTATGTTGAGGGAATAGTTATATTTTATGTTGTTTATTTGGGTGAAATACAGAATCGCCCACTTATTTGGCGTGTTATGTTTGGCGCTTTTTACAAGAGTAAGAGGAATTGGATTTTTGTCAATTTCCGTTAACTTTTTAAGTGAAAATACATCGATATGTACATGGACAAAGTCAAGAGAGTGTGCAATTCCCTGATGTGTTTTTAAGTGAAAATAGGTTGATGTATACATGGATACCGAGTTTGTGCAATTCTTAAAAAAAAGTTCCAAGCAGTGTCTCATTCTGCACTTCCCCGTTTATTTTTATGCTAATAAATATCTTTAAATGATACA